GTTCCTTGCATTCTTACTCTTATTCTTTTAAGTAAAAAAGAATTAAAATCTTTTTTATCTATCAAGGATACACGTGCTGGCATATTGCTATATATGGATGACAAGCCTTTCTATTAAACCAATGTTTTATAAGCATTTCTTTTAAATCACAAAATAACTGTCAAAAGCATTAAAATACCCAGAAACCACTTTTGTCAGCAACAGGCTAAAGAATTTCAGGTTTAATAGTAGAGAGAACATCAAAGAGTCAGAGATATAAAATCATTTCATACAAATGTTTTTGCATTTCTCCTTTGTTATATTAAACTAAGTTAATCTTTTTAACTGATTTTAATCTTAAATGAATAGTAGTTTGATAAAATGCTAAGTAAACTGCTGGAAGTATGGGTGGTCATGCAGAATTCATTTTACCAATTTACTAACAGTGTAAGAATACCTCACTGCTGTAGGCTTATACATAAAAAATAAGAGACAGGTATATCTATAGATTAATTAATAAGTACGTGGGTAATTCTACCTTGGGAGATCTTAACATTTCATGGTTTCTTTTACTGTTTTTACTAAACTTTGGATAAATAAAAATGTATTTTTTTCCCCCCCTTAATGAGATCTTAGCCACTTCTTACAAGGACCCTGAACCAAAACAAACATTTAACTTGTCTTCTTGAGTAATTTCATTTGCTTTTGTTCCCTGCTGTGTGGGAAACACGCTTTGTGCTTACTCTCAATCAGGTATCCCAACAGTTTATCAGGTAGCGCAGCATAATGCAAATATTATAGTTACAGATAAGCTGTTCCCTGCTGCCATTCACTTCTTGGTTTAGATCCCTTGTCGTTTACAAATCAAAATGTTTATGTTCTCAATTATAACACTTCTAAGTGAGAATAAAGAGTATTCCATTACTCCCAAAAGGACCGTGGAAACATTTGTGCATAAAGTATTGTGATACTCTAAATTCCCTCAGTTTCATACTTCTCCATGTCTCACTGGAGCAGAACATCTCACAGTGATCTAATGCTTATAAGAGGGATATGTTTGCACACTAGATGAGAGCTGTGTAATTCACAGAAGGTTTTTGTCCAGGTTAAAAAATTTCTAAAAGATTGCTGAAAAGAGTCCTTGGAAGTTTTGGCATCCACAACCATCGACACAAAACTACCTCCTTTTGCTTAGCCAAAGAGCCTTGGTCAAATGCTACACAGAAAATACTCTGCTACTAGCTCTGCCCAAAGATGCACATTTCATCTGGCTGAAGGATCAAGAAAAATGGCAAAACACATTGCAGAGGACAACCAGTACAATAATATGAGTACAGGGCTGAGCTTTATCAAAGTACAGCAAGGAATAGGTTATTACCATTATAAACACACAAGCATGTTTTGGGAAAGGGAATTAGATGTTTTCCCCACAGTGGCCAGAACATGAGCTGTAATATCAGCCCATCTATATTATTTTGCCCCAAAGGCACAGCCATTCAGGCTGAGGAGAACGTGCTCAGTAGATTACCCCTAAGGTACCATCATCAGCTCCCGCTGACATTCCCAACACCACCAACCTCAGGCATCTAAGAAGTGCTGTGTCTGCTCCTGGTTCAGTGCACATTCTTGGGTGATGGAACAAGGGCATGTGCTGGATTTTCATCAGGTAAAAGAGTAATTAATCTTATTTCTCCCTTTCTCCCTAAAAATAGAACTTCTATAGCTTGAGGAAAACAAAGAGCTATCAGTTGTTCTGCGGCAAATTAATCTTAAAGGGGGAATCTTCCAAAGAAAATCAATAGCTTATAACAAGATTCTGTATTGTGTTTGAGCCCTGAAACTCAAACTAGAACCAAAGCGTACTTTCAGCATCGCAAGTTTGCTCTTGTTGTGCTTTGTTTTCAATACAATGTCATCATTTGAAAAAATGAGATTTTCACATAAGAGCAATTTGAATTACATGCAGCTCAACCTTCATGGAAGACCCTAGTAATATTTAATACAGACTGTAAGATTACAGGTATTTCAGGCAACTTTAAAGAAATTATTTGTCACTCCAATCTTCAAAAAGGGCAAGAAAGAAGGAATTTAATAAGGAATTCAAACTTCTATCTTGCATGTAATATTCTCTAAGACATCTTTATTCATTTGTACCTTTCTAAATTAGTCTGTTCCATATGAGAAACTTTGAAAATGATGTCTCCTTACATGGTCAATCTTTTTTTAAACAAGAAGAACCTAATTAATTTAACCATGGTGCCATGGAAACAGCTTTAAAATTAATTTGGGTGCAAGGAAGAAGGGTACAACTCTAACAGAGAAAGTGACAGGTTTCAAAAGAAGAAAATTCTGTCTTCATTCAGCACAGGGATCTTTGAGAAACAATAATGCATAGCAAGGCAAAGGGATCTTTTCAAATATAGTGAGGCAAGATTTCTCAAGCACACTCTCCAAAACAGTTCATTACCAAACTGAGATGTGATAAGGAAAGGCGGAATGGGGCAGAGGCATACAAACCTGCAGGAATGGGGAAACTTGAAATGTAAGCCACTTGAAAGGACTGGTAAAGAATGCCAAAGTTCAGACAAGTACTTTTATTGTAAAGACAGTGCAGTATGGGATGGAGAGATCATTTATAGATCAGTAAAGGAAATAACTATTCTAATTGCTAATCCATTTGAGTCTGTTAACTCATTCCCACAAATACCTGTGGATTGTCTGCAGTTTGGGTGTGAGTTTTGCACAGAGTGAATTGTGTCTCTTTCTGACGTCAAGAGAGGTCTCCAACAGAGCTGGGACCCATATCAGTCACTGCAATATAATGTGTTATGCAAGACAAGAACTGCACTGGACAGTGGGTTCCTTACAGTGACTCTGGGACAAATGCCCTAAATGTGGTCATGTATATTTCATCAGTTTTATTTCTGTAAGCCCCATCAATAAACCTGGGAGTTTGACATTGACTCAGGGCTTCCATGGGTGGAAGGAGAATTTGGTCCTTCCTTTTACCCATTCCTGCACTAGACATTTTGGTTGGTTAGATAAACTAAATTAATCTAAGTCATTGTTAACCTGGGACTACGTACAGAAGGAATTCTAGTCTAAAGCACATTTCATCACCGATTTCTTTAACAATTCACAAGTTAGTTTGGCTGCCAGAGTGAATGGTTGTACATAAAAAGATAAATACATTACTAAGCCTGAAAATTTCAGTGAGCGCACAGTCCCCAGAACCATTATGTTATCAAAGTTCAGTAGTACCACAAAGTGATGACTAATGAGCCTATAACCTCTACGTGCTGTAGAGTAAATGCTCTCATTAATTCTTTACAAGACCTTCAGAAAACATATTGCACTCATCCTGCTTTCTAGCTGTCAGGATTTAGTAGATGACTTCATTGGCTACTTTGACATTTTTAATTTTTCGTTCCAGTTTGGTTTGTTTGTTTGCCTTAAAAAATGCCTGCTGTGTGAAGTGTAAAAAGGTCAACCAATAGTTCCTAGTGCAGACAGGACAAAAGTAACTGAATTAACACATTACAGCAGTAAATTTGACCCTCACCTTATTTTTTTGGTCTGTGAACCATTAGCTGTAAATAGTAAAGCTATGTGCCAAAGACCTTCTAATCCTACTAATGCAATATTCTTTTTCCTTTCAGAATTTCCACTAACTCTTTTTACATCAATGTCCAAGCAATAAACCAGCATCACTAAGGGATTTGGGTGGGGTGGAGGGAGTACAATTCTTGGTGGATTTTTCCATTAGGATAGCCCATAAGAATCCAATTAATTTACTTATAACAAGAATACATTTTGAAGTCAGGGCAGAGTATAGGAAATAGAACTCTCAGAACACTCCTAGAGTTTGGATGCATCATTTATTTCTCAACTTATTATAGACAGAGATAGCAATGGTGCAGTTTACACATTAATTGGGATTTTTTTTTCCTGATTATAAACATAGAAGGCACACTATGATGACATTTCTTTACTAGCAGTACTAGCCTTTAGCCATTTATACAGTTAAAAAGACTACCACACATAGATCAAGTTAATACTGATCTTGTTCACAGTATCTAAGTCCAGAAATTTTAGTGGACATGCTTTAGATTTATGCCAGCACATGGAAGACATACTTGATTTTTAAATACAAACATCAGGCTGCTGCAATTGTGAAGATGCCAGAACAATTACCTTACTTTTTTGACATCTGAAAACTAAGATATCTTTAGGCCAAATAAAGCTAACTAGCCTTTCAACTTCTTAGAAGTACTAAACTGTCTCACAAGTTCATTAAAGTTTTTCATCTTTTTTTTAAACAAGTGAGGCTATAAATTGCAATATAAATGGTAACAGTGTCCAGTGATCCCAGACAAATCAAATACCATTGTTCTTGGTAAGACATTTACATATACAGGAAGAGAGATGAATTATGCCTTCATAATTTAAAAGTTCCAGCAAGTCATAAAACTGAAAAGCAGAAAGTAATTCTAGGAGCTAAGGAGAACGTGGTTAACAATAATACAGTAAGTGCCTAACTGTAGGAGTTTTTGTAACCAAGTTTGTAAAATCTAGGGCCAATGAATATTAGTATTTTGAATTCTACAAGTGCTGGTTTAAACTATTTCAAACCCATATCCCATATATTTCTTCAAATATTTCAACCCCTGTTTCCTCAGTGTTTGGCTTGAGGCTGAAAAGTACAGATTACTTGATGCCCTGTTGCAACAGGGAAATGATGTCAACCCCTGTGGTGCAATTCCATAACTTGATGTGGGTAAATTCACTTACTGGCAATTTAGAAGAAAACATGCTGGTGCTGTGCCAGTTGGAGCCAAATGGTGATTGAAATTATTAAAATCATGCATGCTGCAAACCTCTGAAAAATCACACTGTTAGAAAATATCCTAAGCATAGGTGGGGTCCTACTGCAAACCAACTGATGTATAGAGAATATTTGCAAACAGTGTACGGTATGGTATGCTACTGTAACTGTAATCTTTCCCTTCCCTGTTTTCTAGGTTCAACTAATCCACTATAACCATGAGCTGTATACAAATGTCACAGAAGCTGCAAAAAGTCCAAATGGGTTGGTGGTAGTTTCCATATTTATGAAAGTAAGTATTCAGTATTGTCAACACTTAATATATAATGGAATCTAGGAAATAGATTCCTCATTATACTATTGCAATGCCTAGAGGCTCTGATCTGGAATCCAGAGACAGCATCATCCTAGGAACTGAACACACAATTTCTACTGCAAAGCATTTACAATATAATGTTTGACAGGCTACCTGTCAAAGCTGGATTACAGTTTGTCCAATAGCCCATTTATTTTCCTAAACCTTAAACTTTTTATGAAATTTTCCTTTTTAAAAATAAATTTATTTCATTCTGGATAAAAGCCAGATGTATAACAGCAGCATCTAGTATCTGATAAAAAAAAAATCACAGAATAATTGAAAGGTAAGTAAGCTATTAGAAGGCTAACTACAGAGTTACTAAAATGTCTCCATAAAATAATGTAATACTGATTTTGTTCGTAACAGATGATTTTGCCATTTGCAGTGCAATAAAATCTCTTATTAAGTTATCATTAATAATCAACAATTATATTGCTGATGAAGTACATACACACCTCCACCCACACACACGCCCAAAAAACCCCCACACAACACCACCACCTCCAAGCTCTCTATCACTTTTCCTCTTCAGGTATGTTGATGTTAATGTACACTGAACAGTTTATGTGTTTCTGTTTGCCTTGGTGGATGAGGACTGGGTTATGGACCAATTAAGCAATCTGGACATCCATAAATCTATGGGTTCAGATGGGATGCACCCGTGGGTGTTGAAGGAGCTGGCTGAAGTCAT